CCTCTCTATTTCTTTTTTTGGTCTTTCAAAAAACTCTGCAAATGGCAAAGAAGCTCGTCAAGATGATCGGGTGTAGGTATGTTTGTTATCATATTTGTCAAACGAATGACTCATTTTCTCTTTGGCACAACATCTCGAATCTCTGCCAGTCGATTTTCGTCTTCTTAACTGTGTACTACGACAAAGTTTTCAATAAAGTTTTCATAAGGAACCTTCTGTCCGAAACTCCAAAATTTTCCTCTTGAAACTCAAGAATTTAATAGAACCTCTCGTAAACGATCACTTCTCGCAAGTGAGCGGGACCACTTTTTGCGCTCACTGTTTTTTTCCCATTACTGTCTAATAAGCGACCACTTGACGTCGGGTGTGATGTCTTTGTTTGCTGTATTTAAAACATCACTCAGAGTGATACCAGGGACTGTCAGTGATAACATGGTCTACACATTTTTTGTAATTTAGAAATTGCATATGAGAAATAATTGAGAATAATAACGTTGATGCATTTTTGGAATTACTATTCTTCGTATAAATTTCAGCTAATACGTTCTGACAAAGAAACGTTTGGCCACGAAACATATATCGCGTACAGTAACGCGCGAGTACACGAGAAGAGCCCACTTTTGGTATATCAACATTCTAACATGACTACGATCTATTTTTCTATATTTGGTTTGATTTTTTTTGTATTCTAGTCTCCTCTGGGGATTGCGAGACAATGGAGTTGTGAAAAATTTGCAGTTTTGACCTTAAAACCTCAGAGTCATGTTAGAATTTTAATATATCGAACGTGGACTGTTTCTGGATTTGTCACTTCCTCGCCCATTATCTCTCGTGTCGGCCACTCGCTCGAGATGAAAATTGCTGGCAAGCTAATGTGAAGAACAAACGAGAATATTGAAAAGAGATTAAACAATACTGACCCAGCTACTTGACCACTCGTCACAAGGCCAAAACCACAAGAGCTTTGGTGCTGACCATTAGTATCGCAGCTCTAGAAAAGACAATGTGCGCGCAAAAGAATTTAACAAGTGAGGGTAATTGTTTATGACATCACTAAATTTTAAAAGCTCACTTTTCGAAGAAGAAAAACGTGATCGAAATTTAACGGAAGATTATATAGAGTGGTGAAGTGATTTTTTTTCTTAGAAAAGAGTTTTTAGGATGGCACAGATGTTTGTCTACAGTTATGAACAACTAGTAGCAATTGTAAACCAACAAGCAGCTACCATTGCGAAGCACGCAGCAGTGATTAACAACCTGCAATCAGAGCGACAGTGGCTGGAAGAGGATAATGATATCCAGAGAGAGGAGTTGGAAAAATCTCAAAAGAACCTCAAGGATCTCGAAACAACGAAAAATTTAACAGAAAATGAATTGAAGAAAGAGTTAGCGCGGCTCAAGGAATCTCAATATGACATCAAGTGGAGGCATAGGAACGCCGTTAGAGAACTAAGTGGTGAGAAGAAAAGAAATCTCAAGCTGAAAGCCCAGTGCACTTCACTGTTAGAGAAGCTTGATCAGAGCACCCAGGAACTTCAGCAAAAGGAACAAGAACTTGACCGAGCAAACCAGGAACTCGATTTAGGGTACAGCGTGGGCGAGTGGATGTATCAACACCTTAGATATTATTACTGGGGATACTTTGAACTGCTTAAGTACTTCCAGTGGCCTGGACCATCGTCTGGAGGAGCGAACATCAGAGAACTCGACACTAATGATCGACCAATGGAAGGAAAGACGGTTGCAGTGCTGCCTCACAGTTATAACGTAACGCAGGGAGTCCAGGTGTCACCAAAACCACCTAATTCAGAAAGAGCCAGAACTGTTTTAGACGGCACCGAAAGAATAACTGTTGCTGTAAACATGGTGAAGAAAACGGATTTCCGAACAAGTCTGATAGCGCAGAGTGTCATCGAACTAGTCCCAAGTACCATCGTCTGTCCCAAAACAGTTCTCGTGATAATACTTGCTCCCTCCCACGACCAAAACCTAATCGAGTTCCTGTCGCCGCTTATTAATAACAACAGCAGTTGGTTTATCCCTGAAGTTCCTGAGGTTGCTCAATCATCAGCTCTCTACAGTGAAGTGCATACAACACCGGGCAACCACCTACAGCAGCTCGCCATTTGTGCACCAGAGTGGGTAAATGCACCAACCACAATACACACATTAGTGGCTGTAAAAGGAGCCGGCCATGCATCTCGGGTGCCTAACAAAAGGCGTTCAAATGCCACCAAGCTCAACAACATCACCTCTTGCAACAAGGCGTTTGAATCTTTGCCTCTGAAAACTAAAGAGAAACACGAGAGAGGAAATGACGAACCAAAAGTTGGACATTGCCAGCCGACCACTGCTTCGAATTCTTCCGAGCCTGATCGGCTCTCCCTTGCGAACAACCGTCAATCTGTAGACTCCTGCGATGGGGAAAAGGAAGTTTCAACTCTTAAAGAGGAAAGGAGACGAGCTGGAGAGAAAAAACCAAAGACTTTGGTGAGTTGGCTCAAAAATTACAGATACTCTGCAAAATTGAATTGGCCTAAAATGGTTTCAGGAGATCAACTTATGAAAATCCTGGGAGTATGGTAATGATACTCGGTCTCTCGACTGTGTATAATTGCCAGCAGTTTACTTATCAACTAGTGGGGGTGGAGACAAGTTTGTTTAACAGATGCGTGTTATCTCTACAAGCATTACAAAGCAAATATCGTTTTTTAAGTGATATTCAGATATAAAAACAAGTTTTTCTCGTGTAAATGGGGTTTTGTTCTCGGTAGAGGCGACATTTTGTTATTTGTGCTCAAGTCCAGTCTGTTACTAACCTCCATGTCATGTTATGGCCAGTGGCTCAGCTGCAAGACAAGACTCCATGACTAAACATGGCAGGTTGTGGTAAATGCGAGTAAAACGCTGTTTTCTCGGAGCAAAAAAGCACTGCTAATCAGTGTGGCGTAGCTCTTCGTCGTTCTTGAAGATAGCGTTTTAACTGTGTATTTTCGTACTTAACAATCTCCTTTGGTTATATACTTTATCTTTGCAGAAACAAAGACTGACCAGATTCATCTGCTGGCTACGACGCCATTGTTGCTGCAGTCCGAAAACAGAGGAGTGAATAAAACCTATTAAATAAATCCTATTTTTCTGTATATTTTATTTATTTCTTGCTAAGATTGATTCAGAATTTTATAAAGGCTGGTTTTCATTAGCTTTGGAGTCGAAG